CACCAACTCAATATGACCCAACCACATGGCTGTTAAAAAGGTAAATGCAGAACACACACCGTGCTCAAGTGCACAGGTACCCTTCTTCAGGAGAGATCACACGTCTGGTCACAAAGCAAGTCTTAACAAATCTAAGAAGGTCAAAACCATACCAAATATCTTTTCTGATCGCAATTAAATGAACCTAGAAATCAACAGCAAGGAATATTAGAAACTTGAAAAATGCTGGATGCAGAGATTACACCCACACTCTTGAACGATCAGTGGGTCAAAGGAGAAATCAAAATGGAAATCAGAAACTATCTGGAGACTAATGAAAATATAATGTTCCCAAACTTATGAGATGCAGCAAATGCAGGACTAACAGGAAACTTTGTGGTGATAAATGTGTACATTCAAAAAGAATTAGGATCTCAAATAAATAACCTAACTCCACACCTCAAGGAGCTAGAAAGAGTACAACAAACTATGCCCTAAGTTAAGTTAGCAGAAGGAAGGAAATAAAGGTTAGAGCAGAAGTAAACAAAATAGAAAATATAAAAAGACTAAAAAAATCAACAAAACAGTATTGGCTAAATGATGTGGCATCCACATGCAATGAAATGTTATTTATCCATAAAAAGAATAAAATCCTGTCACGTGCCACAGTCTGGAAGAACCTTGAAGACAACTTGCGAAAGAAGGCAGAAGGACGAATACTGCACGATTCCACTTACGTGAGGTGTGGAAAGTTGTCAAACTCGTGGCAGTAGACTTTACAGTGGTGGTTGCTAGGAGCTGGGGAAAGGGAGAAATGGGGAGTTACTGCTCAACGGGTATGAAGTTTCGGTCATGCAAGATGAAAAAGTGCCAGAGATCTGCTGCACAGCGGTGTGCTCAGAGCTGACGGTACTGGGCTCTACTCTCAAAACTTCATTGAGGGTCTACCTCATGTTATGTGTTTTCTTGCAACAATAAAAAAAAAAAGTGTGTGAACCTTACAATAACAATCAAAGAAATGCAAATAAAAAATTACCACCTGTCAAATTAGTAAAGATTTAAAAATGCTAGTGAGCGTTCCCTGAGGCCGGTTTTCCCACTCACTGCTCGTTACAGTGTAAATTGGCAGGCACAACCACTTTAAAAAAGGCTTTGGAAATATGCATCAAAGGGTCTTAAAAATGTTGGTACCCTTTGATGTAATAATGTTGTTTGTGGGAGCCTGCTCTCATGCAGTAATAACAAGTGTAAATATGTTTGTTTACAGAAGCAAAAAAGAGAAATCTTCCAAACATCCCATGAGCAGGGAATAGTTAATAAATGTTGATACATATGATAAAACAACAAAAATGTTTAGGAAGTTTTAGTGACAAGAGAAAACTGCTGGCAATATAGTATTAAGTGAAAAAAGGCAGAATAACAAACTGTTAAGTGTGGTTACAGATGGTATTATCACTATTATGTAAAAAAAAATAAAATAGATGAAGGAAATACACAAAAATGTTATATGGGGTTGCTTCTGGATAGTGAGACTATAGATATTTAAAATAAGATTTTTACAAATCCTTTTTTTTTCATGTTTTCCAAACTTCTGACGACAGCCTCCTGTTACTTCCCCAATCTGGAAAAATAGGTATAATTAAAAATGAAATATGATCCAGGTTTCATGAAAAAAGGTGATCAGTTTGTCTAAACATGTATTCTTAAATATATTGCAAGACTAAATTACTCTTTAGTCTTTGCAAACATAAACATGTAAGGTAGAATGCAAAGTGACCGAAAATTAGACTCTTTATCCTAGAAATACTGGAAGGTATTTGACAGATTTTATTTAAGGTATGTTTAAGTAAAAACAGTAATAGAGGTAGACATAGCAGGGAGAGAAATCAAGAGAAAACTTTACATTATTTATTTGTGTGGTAAACATACGGCTTAGCATCATCCAAGTAACAGCATCAACTCCCTCTGGGGTGCTGTAGGTGGGACATCCCCTTCAGGAGAGTGGTTTAGGGGAGGTGGAAATGGAAAGGCAAGCAGGGAGGCAAAAGGAGGGTCTGTCCTGGCAGCCAGGTTGGCCCAACCCACTCTGGCTTTTGTTGGGTTGGCAGATGGTACAGCCAGATTGTCCCACCAGCCTGGAGCTACTAACTAAAACAATTACATTCAAGGAGATAAATTCATGCTACAATCAGATTCCAAATATTAGCTGGGGATGACAGGGTAATATTGTAATTGGCTTACGTTGGGAGCAGAAAACTCTAATAAGGGATGGGCAGAGAAAGGTACATGCTAACTTCCACAGGGAAGCAAACACTAACTGACTCTTTGAGAAAATCATGTTTATGAACCACACTGCTCAGCTCCCCTCCCTGCCTTGCCATTTAATCTCACATGAGATGCTTTCTAGTTCTTTAATCATTTTTTGTTATTCTATTACAGTTGTTCCTGCTGTTCCCCCTTTGCCCTCCTCTGCCCATCCCACCCCCTACTCCCACAGTCAGTTCCCACACTGTTATCCATGTCTGTGGGTCATTCATTCATGTTCTTTGTCTGGTTCCCTCCCTTTCTTTCCGTCTTTCCACCAGTATCCTCCCCTCCCCTCTGGTCACTTTCAGCAGTTCCATGTTTCTATGCCTGTGGGGTTTTTTTGTTGTTATTAGTGTTCTATTACCTTCACTTACATGTTTCCTTGAAATCAGAGAAAGCAAATTTGGGGATCTTGGGCTCAGTCTTGAAAATAGACTTGTGGGCTGTGCTGTGCTTAAAAAAATCTTGAATGAGTTGCTAATAGTTAAACATTGAGAGATTTGGTACAAAAATCAGAATTTGGGGCTTTAAAAGGATTCAATTTACCAACAGTGAGCTGATATTGTCAAATGACAATCATCAGCTGGAGATGAGTGACAGATGCCCTTTTAGGTGGCATAGGCTCACCAGTTGGCCACAGTCTTCACTCAGCCCATTTGCCCATTTGCATTTCCATTCCTGGCCCCTGCACACATTCCTGAGGTTTTCAAAAACTATTGCGTCAGCCCTGAGCTGCCTAGGATAACAAGCCTCCAATGATACAAAACCCATTCAAAGCAACACTTCCTGTGAGTAATTGTGATAAAGACAGTCCCGATTAAGCACTACAAACATCCTCAAAGGCATGGTGGGAAAGTAGAAAGAGATGCTCCCCTGTAAATCAGGGGTGCTGTGGACATATAGAATAGAGGGCCTTAAAAGGGACATCTTAAGGGAAATTCACAGCCTAGTGTTTAGAACTTAGTAGGAGGTTAATAAATATTTGTTTCCACCCTGAAAGCAGATGCAGAGCACAGTGAGGAAGAAATGGAGCCAGAACAGTGTAATGCAATGCACAAAAGCACAGCATGCCAAGAGAGAAGGAGGGAGGAAGTAATTGTAGCCTAGGGAGCAGCAGCAGCAATAGACCAAGCCTAGAGAAGTTAGAATGACAGAGTCAGGTACTATAATAATGGGGGCTGCATAATTGTGACATGATTCCGACAGATGTTTGCTAGCCACACATCTATACGGTAAGCAAAAGCATAGAGTAGATAGAGGAGGACTGCGTTAATCAAGCAGAAATTCAGACAGAAATTCACACCAGGATACTGGTCATGGGAAAGAATTCAACCCTTTAGTGAAGGATTGTTTGTTAAAACTATAGCAGAATATGTATACAAATATAGGGAGTAGGTAAAATTTGCAGAATAGCTGTATACGGTTGAAGAACAGAATTTCTATCCTTAGCTGAAGTAAGTTCATTGTTTAAAATTGTTTTGTTTTGGGCTTACCATTGGTGTAGTTTTAGTTACTTTGGAATAATTTATTTCTAAAGCCTCAATTTTCCTGAAGCAGCATGTCACTACAGTAATAACCTGGCAGAGAAGGTTAGACAAAGGGTGCCGAATGTGGGATGGAAGGTTACAGGTGCAATTATTTTCTTCCCAGCCCTTTCTTAAGGTCAAAGCCAACCAGTCGCTGTTTATACATAGGGTAGCTTTTGCAGTATTTATTTCTTTAAATATTTAATAGTCTTGAGAGGCAGTGACTGGCAGTAATACGTAGAGTTTCTAGCATGTTGTGAATGCTTAATATATGGTAACAATAAAATCCGGTATGATGAAAACAGCAGTCAGTAAACCTGTTAGACTCTAACATATTTTAAAGCTGTAGCAGTAACTATTTAGACAAGTATAAAAAGCAAACATAGTGCATTGACTAAATTATGGTAATAAAGGAACATTTATATTCACTAAAAAGTTCACCCAGGTAATTTCTTCTTAAATTCCTTAAGGAATTGAGAAAAAGTATGTGAAAAAGTGGATAGAGCGTGGATTAAAAGAAAAAAAAAACGTGGGAAAAAAAAACCCTTTTGTGTGGAAACCTGCTGACCACGAACCCCGTAGCTACATCCTGCACAGCGGCGTAGAGCTCCAACTGCCTTCAGAACTCCCTCTAATCCAGCACGAATTACTAGAAGTCTTCTAGCTCTGACGGCCTTGGTTTTGGAGGAGGAGGCACGCAGGTGCCTGTGTGAGACACCTCCAGATGTATGCCGCAACAGAGTGGCCCCGGGAAAACAAAGACTTTTATACCCCAGAGAGAAACTTCTTTATTAACATTTAAACCTGGGACACTAGGCTACCCGAGGAACTTGGACCGTTGCGCTTTTGGGATTCTGCGCAGCCCTCAGCAGCTGGAAAACTCCGCAGCTTGGGCTGACGACCCAGCGCTCTAAGTTTAGGAAAGGAATCGAGGGGGGAAAAAAATAGAGCTGCTCCTTTAAGAACTTCCTTTCCCTTTACTCTATGTTTACATAACATGGGGGCCGATCCACCGCGGGCCCGGCCGGGGAAGGCAGGGAGTGGGCGCGGGAGCCCCCACGCACGGCGGGAGGCAGCGCCACGCGGGTCCGGTGCTGCGGGCTCTTGGCTGGGGGCGGGGCGGCTCCCACCTGCCCGCGCGCGGCGACGGTCCTGCCCCCGCCCCTCCGCCGCGCGCTGCCTCCGCCCCTCCCTCCCTATCCTGTTCCTTTCCTCCCTCCCGCGGGGCTCCGGCGGCGGCTGTAGCGCTCAGCGCGGGCAGGTCCCCTGCTGCCCGGTCCCATTTGTTGTCTAGTCTGGCTCGGGGCGGCCGCGGCTTGCGGAGCTCCGGAAAGCCCGGCGGGGCAGCCGCGCAGCCACGACGGAGCAGCCTCGGGACTGGCCGCCCCGCGCCCCCTTCGCCGCCGTGCCCTTCCCCGGCGCGCTCACCCCCTTCTCGGGATGGGATTGTAGCGGCGGCGCGGACTCTGCGGGGATCGCGGCGGAGGCGGCGGCGGCCGAGCGGGGCTCCATGTTTTCCCCCGACCAGGAGGAGCACTGCGCCCCCAATAAGGAGCCGGTGAAATACGGGGAGCTGGTGGTATTGGGGTGAGTCCTGGCATCCCCGACCTCGGGGAGAGTAGGAGCGGGCGGCGAGCGCCCCGGGCCGGATAGCCGCCGCGCGCCCGCATCCCATAGCGGCGCCAGCGGGGAGGCTCTGGCGCTCTTTGGGGACCACCACGGCGCTGGGAACGGCCGGAGAGGCTGGGAGGGCTGGGACGGCGGGTGCCGAGGCGGGAGCCTGGAGGCGCTCACCGCGCTGAGGAGGGTGGCGGAGGAAGTGGAGGAGCGGGCCCGGCCCCCGGGGGGCGGTGGAGGGGACTGGGGTGACCTCACACCCCGCAGGGCTCAGTGCTCGCGCACGAAGTGCGTGCTAGTGCCGCAGGGGCAGGGGCTCGACTTCCCCGAGAGCGCCGAGCCGAGGAGGGTCGGTCGGGGCCGGGACTGAGGCGCCACCGTCGCAGGCACTTGGCTGTGTCGCAGGAGACCCCCCCGGTTGGCGGAGCTGAGAGGTTCCCGAGGCCCTGCGCAGGGGGGCCCTATGTCCCCGCTCGCTGTGGGTCCGGGGCCCCGAACTCTGAGCGAGGCGCAGCCAGCTGGCGGCTGCGGCGGGCGTCCGCGGGCAGCCCTTAGCACATTGTTAAGGCGACCGCGGCGGGCCGCCGCAGCCCGCGGGCAGTGAACTGTCTCTGACCCGGGCGGCCCGCAGGCCCACGGCTCACGGCGCCGCGAGCGCCCTGGAGGGGCGAGGACGCGGTGGCGCCTGGCCGCACCCCCTCTGCCCCTCCACCCCGGGCCGTGGCCTCGCAGATGTCCTCCCGGAGGCGGAAAGCTCGCCAGCCTTGCCTGCCTCGGCTCCCTATCTGCTTGTGAAAACCACATTTTGAAGCTAGTAATTATCCACGATCGTTAAACGGCAGCAGTGAGAGACTTCATCTACTTCCCGAGTTTCCTTGTGACATTTCTATTGTTTACCCTTAATAAGCCGGGAGGGAGGCTTCACCAGAGGAAAGCTGGATAGGATAAAGTGGGCAGTGAAAGGGGAGTGGACTGGGAGGGGGAAGCGCAGGAAACTCAGGAGAAAGAGCAGCTTCGGTTTAGTACTGGAGGAGAAAGGATTATTTTTTCCTTGGGATGTGTCACTCCTGGGAACCCGCGCTTTTGCCCTTGTCTGTTGAAAGACCTGTACTCAGAACATCACGAGTGCTGATAAGTGGGCTTCGCACACAGGTGGGACATCTTAAGAATGGGAAGACTCAGAGCTCAGAAGAAAAGTGTTTTGATAACGGGATACATCGAAGTGCGTGTCGACTTAAAAATAATTTTAGAAGATTTTTAAAGAGAAGCTTCTAGACACAGGACAACTCAAAGTTGTCTAGTCCTCACTTTGCCGCTACAGGGTTAAGTTATTGAAAATCTCATTGCCTATTTTGAAGCTACGGGCAAATACGCCAAATACGCGTTTTTCTCACCTGCACCTAATTGCACTTAAAAGACGGATGTTAAGGTTCACTGGAAGGAGGGAGGAACGACAAGGAAAAAGGCAGAGTTTAGCTTCTCTTATGTAACCTCAGCCCAACCTAATTTTGTGGAGTTTGGTTTTGTTTGTGTGGCTGGCTTCAGAGTATGTTTAACATGGTGAACCTGACCGGAAAGATTAAGTTGTGCCAAACTTTATTTCATTATTTCCTTTTGAGGAAATCATTGTTGAGATGCTTCAGAAAAGCCATGTGTGAGTGGGTCTGGAGAGGTTTTGTGTTCATAGCTGGAAGTGTAGGGCACTTCGAAGCCCTAGAAAGGATTTATACTCTGGATGTCCCCGGGTCATAGGCTCACTCTAAAGTCGACTCTGTCAGTGCGCAGCCAACTGCGTGTTCTCTAATGCTTTTCCAGGAGGCCCCGAGGAGTGTGACATAGTTGGCACTTACCTGACACTCGGCAGTTCTGTGTACAACTGCTATGTGCCTGCACTGTGTAGGCATTGAGGATCAGCAGGGGACAAAGAGCTTTCCATTACAGTGTGGTGTGGCAGGCATGAACAGAAAGAATCCTGTAAACAAATGAATAATAAATGACAGTTTCAGGTGTTGCCAAGTATTCAACAGAAGTGGGTTAACTCAGGGAATGTCTGCTCTAGGCAGGTGTTTTCTTTAGGAGGTCAGGGCAAGACTCTGAGGAAGTGAAATGTGAGTTGAGAGCAGACTGCTGAGAAGATGCTAGTTTGGTTTTTGAATTCTCAAGACAAATTGTGGTCTTTTTTTCTTTGTTGAGAGTAGGTTTTTGACTCTTTAGCAATATTGAATACATCAAACAATACTGGGGGACTAGGGAAAAGTAGGTAGACTTTAAAAAGACCCTTAATTTTTATACCCCACTCTTAGGACTTAAGACAGTGTCCTCCGTCTTAAAACAACAATAACAATCAAATTAAAAAATAATGTCGACCTTGCATGCCTGATCATCTAGGACATAAGTATTGGTAAACAGAATGTGTAGTAGATTTTCTTACTGGTAAAGTTAATCTTAAGATCACAAAATGCTTAATATTGAGCAGGAAGGGAAAAGGACTCATGGACGTGGACAACAGTGTGGTGATTGCTGGGGGTGGGGGGTGTGAGGGGACTAAATGATAATGCAAGAATGCAATAAAAAGTAAAAAAATTAAAATGCTCTATATTGATAGAAGCTTCTATAAAATACAAGGCTTTCTTCTGTTTTTGAAACTAGGTGTGACCCTCCTTTTCACTTCTCCTTTAAATTTTATAGAGAAATGTTGCTGAGATCCTGGAGCACAGACAGGAACTATGCTGTGTGTGTCTGTACACAGACATGTATATGTGAGGAGCTGTGTATGTGTATGTCTGTGTCCATTTAGATATACTTCTGCACCTTGTCATGTGCTATACAATATCAAGGGAATTTCCAGGTATTTAGGATTTTAGGAGGGTCATCGCTTTCTTGGTAGGTAAGTGGAATTTAATTATTTCATGACTCCAATCAGTGACTGTATCACAGCCCCATCTCTTGGCTCTGCCCGTGATGTAATTGAAGATAGAGAAAATGATTGGTCTCTTAGGTCCTTTTCTCTGTGTTTTAAACCTGACTACACTGTTAAAGTTGGGTAAGTGTGTCAGGATTTGAGAGGCAGTTCAGTGTAGCGGGGAGAACAGGAAGGCATGGTCGGGAGACCTGGATTTTATTCCTGCTTTCTTGCAGGCTGGCTTTGTGATTTTTACTTGGTCCCCCATTCCATCTCTGTTTCTTTTACACTAATGAAAATGATCGGATTAGGTAGTCATCAAGGGCCTTCCTGGTCTGTGCCCTGTAATACTGCTAATTGGCTGAAAAGTGGAAAATGTATCATTAATGTATTCTAGATAACCTGGCTTTTGTTGATTTTGTATATTCAGCTGATGGTGCTAGAATTTGAACTTCGTTTAAATAGAAAAGACCAATGTTGTGATTACTTTTTATGAAATAGATAGGTGCAAATAGTAAGCCTTTCTACTATTTAAAAAAATTATAGTAGCATAAACATACATACATTTGGCTCATTGGTGTTAGGTTGTGCATGAGGGCATTTAAATTTGGTAAAACTTTCTGTTCCAAGTTTAAGAAAGGCAATGATGTTTTGAAATTAAGCTAAGTAGGTTGAAATAGCTAATATAAAGAAGAGATAATCTGATAGAACTTTAGAACTGGAAGGAGCCTAAGAAATCCTGGTATGTGTTCAGCCCTTTTATTTCACAGATGAAGAAACTGAGGCTCCAGGAAGGGAGGGGACTTTTGTATGTCCAAAGCTGAGCTGGGTCGCTGCATGGCCAGGTCACCGATTTCCCGCTTTGGGGCTGGGAATTGAATCCAGAAAGGTATTCTTCCCTCGTGTAAGTTAGAAAAACAAACAAAAAACCCCAACCTTGAAGCTTTGAGGCATGCCATGCAGCTCTCTTGCTGACTAATGGCCTATCATGGTTTTTGGGAAAATGTTGCTTATACTCTAGTTTCTCTAACCTCACAATTGAATGGATAGTATATTTTGCAAGGCTTTACTTTTCATTTGATGTTCACAAATGTATTTTTATTGGCTATTTCAACCAAAGGCTTTTAACCCAGGGTCCACAGATGCAATCCAGGGAGTATTTGAACTTGGGGAAAATTGCATCTCTGTTTTCACTATAACTCAAACTGAGATTTCGCATTTCACTCAACTTAAGAGAACAGGCAGCAAACAGACTTGCTGCTAGATTTGTTGTTTATGCATTAATACAGGCTACATGTACTGTTGTGTCATGATCCAAAACTATCTTGATAACTAGTATAATTGACTTCACTTGTAATCCTTTGTATTTTACTTTATGCACTTAAAAACATTTTTATTAGAAGGGCTCAGCAGGCTTTACCAGCTTGCTATTGGGACAAAAATGGGTTAAAAACCTTGAAAATGAAAGCTTATAAATATGACTGAAAATGAAACACTTCAGTATAAACTGATCAGGGTCTGCACAAAGGTCAGAGTGCCTACTTTTTTCCCTTTGGATGGTGTAGCATTCTAGCAAATAAGACCGAGAGGACTGTTGCTTGAGGAGTTCATGGTCTTTATTTTTTAAACAAGCAGCTCCTTATTTCTTTTTGTTTTAACCTTGGCACTTTGCCTTGACTCCACCTCCCCTTGGTAGTAATAAGAAACCTTAAAATATACCCTAACACTCCCTTTTCTCATCCTCCTATCCAACTTGGGCCCAAAGACATCAGACACTAGTATTGTGTATATAGACTAAAAGGCCTTTGAATTTCTTCCTTTTTTAAAAAAAAATAAAACACAATCTCTACTGTCAGTCAGCGTCACTTGGTGTGTGGGGTGATTTGAAGAGCTCAGATCTGTTGGTGTGGATGGAGTGTCTAATTCTGTGGGCTGTTAAGGGTCATGATGTTCCTGGCTTTGGGTTGCTATATATTCCGTTACTAACTTTAGCCTTGTTTGGGGTCTGTGGCTGTCTGTATGGTTTCTCGTCTGGCTTGCTCAGATTTGTTTGTTTCTCTCTTTAACA